CAACCTGCAGAGCAATGCTCAGCCCCCAAGATCAAGTCACTCTTTGCAAGAGGCCCGACCATTGAGCAATAGGTTCCCATGACCCTAAACCCTAAACCCTAAACCCTAAACCCTAAACCCTAAACCCTAAACCCTACAGCAACGAAAGGGTTGAACTGCGGTGTTTTTCTGGGGGGGGGGGGGGGGGGGGGAGCTTCCATCCTGCTGTCTTTCTAGAGTAACCCCCACTGCAGGTGGCAGCCACTTGGTTAGCGGGTCCGCCCCGCAGCGTGAATTCTGTGCCCCTGCGGCAAGTTTGCAAGGACCTTGAAGTTGGTTTCTTGCTGGGAACAGGGCCTCTTTTCAGGCCAAGGGGCTTCTAGAATTCCAAGCGCTCTAGGCAAGCCATTGCCTCTTCAAAACTATAGCTCTCTTGGCTGGGTATGAAGAGCTATAGCCGAGCTAGGCCCGCAGAGGAGCAAGCGATCTGCCATTTAAGGGCCCATACTAAGGGACCAGGTAGCTGCACTTAGATTTTCACCCTTGCGCCTCGAGGTGGGAAACCTGCAGATGATCACTTTGACTGCCAAGCTGCCACACCCGAGTTTCGGGGTCCAAGGAAGAAGGGACCCCCTCTCCCCACGAGTTACAAGTTACAAGTAGAGTCATGAGGACCCTAAATTGGTTGCACATTAGCCGGGCCCGCTGTTGAGAGATCCCGAGAGCAAAGTTTGTGCCTTTGGACCCATTGGACCCCACACAGAGTTTTTTAGGAGCCGCCACCAGCGCAGCCTCCATCCGTCACGAGCTCCTTCGAGGGTGCCCTGTGCGCTGACCTAGGACCTAAAACTTCCGAGTTAGGGTAGAACACAGAGCCCACAACTTGGATAGTTAGGTTTTATAGGGATATATGTGGTTCTTCTAATTCAATCTCATTTGGGGTACGTAAGACCCCATGAACAGCGCTCCGTCCCCAGCACTTCAAGGATGATGTAAACTCGAAGCCGTCCGGCCCAGACCCCCGGGAGGATCCAGAAAGTATAGATCTCCTTCAGGGTTTGCCAAGAATGAACCAAACGACTACTTGGGGGGGGGCTCTACTTTTAGGAGCCTCCCAAGTGTCTGGGAGCCTGTCTAGCATCTGTCAGCCTGGCGTTTGTATTCACGATTCGAAATATCTGCACATCACATGCGCACTTGGCTTAATATCTTTAGCGCAGAAGCGCGCGCTTTACATACGTGTCCCTAAACCCTAAACCCTAAACCCTAAACCCCAAACCCCATAGTCGGTATTTCGACGCCCAGGAAGGCCCACAGAACTTACTGTCGCGGCGTGCGGGCCGAAGTTAAAAAAGGGAGTCCACCTTCCCCCCTCGCAGTTCCAGCGCCTCTCGGAATTCAAGGGCATCCGCTCTCCTGGTCCGCCTTGCACCTTGCATGCTTAGGCGCTAAGTTAGGGGGTTGCAGGGCCGGCGCCCTACATTGGGCTCTCTTTTTGGGGGTGCTCTCTGAGTACTACAGTCTCTGGTATTGAGGGTACCGAAGATAGGGACCTAGGTCCCGGATATCTGGGTGGAGCATGAGGTGCTTGCGTGGACCTGCGCGGTGTGTTTCACAACTTACGTGGTCGAGCATGCCCTACTCGGCGTTGTTTCACTGGGCGTGCTGCGCCCATGAATTAGACCAGGCCCTCACGTGGGACACGCGCACAAAGGTGGGCTTCTTCGACCCTCCCCCCCCCCCAGCGATACCCTTATTCTGTTGCATTAGGGGAGTTACTGTAGGCTCGACTAGAAACCCATGAAGACAATGTGGTAGCCCTTTTCTGCCTAAGGTTTGGCTTACCAACCCCCCCCCCCCAAGCCCTATACCCTACAAAGCAACAACAGAAGATATCAACAGACTGCCTGCCGACTTGTCAAACGCTGAGATCCTGACAGGCTGCACATATTCTTCCTGAGGATCCAGATGGCAGTCAGTGTCTCGGGACCCCACCAACTCCGGATTAAGTGTTTATGGTGGAGTTATGGCAGTTATGGGTTTAGGGTTGTTCAGGGTTTAGAGTTTAGGGTTGTTCAGGGCTTAGGGTAGGGGTATGGGGTCTCAACCCAACTCCCCGCATGGTCATCACAGGCTTGTAGAACCTGACACTCAAGGAGGTCATGACTACATGGTTTAGGGTTTAGGGGTTTAGAGTTTAGGGGTTAGGGGCTAGGGTTTAGGGCTTAGGGTTTAGGGTGTGGCCGGATGCTGTTCCACTACAAGTACTTGGCTGTGCTGGGTTCTCGGGAGCAGCTGGCGACCGTCATGCTCCATCCCCGCGACGGCTGGTTTAAGGCTCAGGGTCACTTGAGCTGAGTGCGCACGGCCACTCGTGTGACTTAAGTAGCAGGGTTTAGGGTTTAGGGTTTAGGGTTTAGCGTTCGGGAGAGCATTTCGCTCGGCAGTTCCTTCGCGCTTCAGCTGCTGGCAGGGCATAGACCTGCAGCTTCGATAGCCAAAGCAGAGCTTATCTCACGCTGTCTTCTTCAGCGGTTTTGAGCTGATGTTTCTTTGTCATGCAGGGGTCCGCTGCCAGCAGCTGAACCTCCAGGATTATACCACAGCATCCCCGATGGAGTGCGACTTTGCAGTCCCCTAAACCCTAAACCCTAAACCCTAAAGTGCGGCTCGGCGTGGCTAAAGATCAAGATGGCCAGCAGTTCGAGGCACACTACAACTCAGAGCCTCCGAAACCCCAAACCCCAATCCTAATAACCCAAGTCAGGGTCCGTACAACTCCACTTATAACTAGGCTTTTACACCCTACATGTAAGGGCCCCCTAGTTACAAGCAGGGTTATAAGGGCCCTTAATTGGGTTATAAGTCCTACTATTTAGGTTATAACTCCCTTAACTGAAGTTAGTACAGTAAGGGGGCCCCTACTTGTAGGCTTCTACACCCTAAATCCTAAAGTCTACAAACCCAAGCCGACCGCTCTGCGTGGCCTCTCCATCGCGGAGTTGTGTGCCAGCCAGGGGTTGCTGGCCGAAGAAAAAAACCCTAAACCCTACACCCGTAACCCTAAAACCTAAACCCTAAACCCTAAACCCTAAACCCTAAACCCTAAACCCTAAACCCTAAACCCTAAACCCTAAACCCTAAACCCTAAACCCTAAACCCTAAACCCAAACCCTAAAACCGGAGGTGACAAGGCCAACGTTGAGGTTCCACCCATCAAGGAATGGCCCAGGTTGCCTGCAAAAGAAACATACCAGGAGGGGCCCCCTTACTATGCTAGCTATAGTTAAGGGTAAGTTAGGATCCTTATAACCCAATTTAGGACCCTTAGAACTCTACCTATAACAAGGGGGGCCCCTCCTTGTATGCTGCAAACACCAACAAACAAGCAAACACGTAAAATGCATGAGGCTGCATTGATAAGCACCTGGATTGCGTGGTCCCAATCCTTGCGGCTCCAACGCATGGACATTGGCACGACTTCCTACAGCCTCATTGGCTCGATTCAGCACATTCCGTAGATGGCTTGTGACCGTAAACCCTGTATTTAGGGTTTAGGGTTTAGGGCCTGCAAATCCTAAAGCCTATAAACCCTCTACTACAGGGACCGGCATGATTGCTATTACTATCTATCCCCTTATGGTCCCTCAATACTTATACCATACTGGCACCCAAAACCCTATCCTAATTGCTAAGGCCCCTATGCCACCCCGTTTGTAGATAAGAGGCTACCAAGGGGCTGCGCAGGCACCCAGACCCCCCCCCAAAGCACCGGTGATATTTGCCTTCAGGGGTTTGGGACTTAGGGTAACACAGGCCTTTCTTCTGGGGGGCTTTTGGAGGTCTAAACCCTAAAGCCCCAAACGCCAAACCCTAAACTAACCCCAAACCCGAACCCTAAACCCCAAACCCCAACCCTAAACCCCAAACCCCAAACCCTAAAACCCCAAACCAGAAGCGGATCTTCGGGCTTTTGGGCCATGCAGCGGCTGGGCGTGAGGGGCCCCTTCTCGGAGAGGCGTCGCCGCCCCCCATTCGGGGGCTTCCGAAGATAGGGGTACCCTTTTTGGGGGTCGATTTTTAGGGGGATTCTATTCAGTTTGGAGTATAAAAGGAGTACCCCTGTTTTGGGAAAGGCCCATTTCTGAACTCCGCTGCTCCTGGCGTCAGTGTTCTGGGGGTTCAGGGTTTTGGGTGTTAGCGCGGGTTCACAAGGGTGTTTTAGAGAGTTCATGACATGAGTGTGGCCGATGTGTTTTGTTTTTGCATTCCGGGGAAGGGAGGGGGGTTGGGGACAAATCGAGGCTTCGGGGGTGATAAACATTCGCTGTGTCATGCCATGTACCATTTATGACATTCTGCCCGTTATGTCTTTATCTCCCCAGCTGTCTCTATTGGTCTTGCTAGCAACCCTAAACCCTAAACCCATGATCACCCTGTAGTCCCGCATGCACTGCAGAAGATGTGGGGCATGCATGCTGCCTCTTGAAAGATCACGCCGCTCTTTTGTGCTTCGGCTCAGCTTGTGTATATCTATCTGTCTATCTGTCTATCTATCTATCTATACACATGTTTTGTACTCATGAATTTAAATAACTAGATAATATACATGTACTTTTTGTTCGATATACACTCCGTTTACATGTCCACACCACTGCGTTGACTTTAACGTTCAGCGTAAGCCGGGTAGGTGGCGACCCAGATCGCCAGGTTCCTTCCGTTTAGGGTTCAGGGTTTGGGTTTTCAAAAAGGGTTGTGCCCCACCTACACCCTAAACTTTAGACCGCCTAAACCTTAACCTCCTTTCCCTCACCCTGACCCCCTTGGGGTTCTGACCCCCCTCGGGGTCCTTTCGCGTGCCCAGAGATGGCAAGCTGCTTCAAAAACCTATATGAGCATACAAGAGCCCTACAAACCCAAGAGCCCGAAATCTCAAACCTTCATAGGTTTTAGGGTTTACTTCCGGGCACATAGGCGGACGCCTGTTGAACAAAGGGTTGTGCCTGTTGACTCGGTTCGCCATGCTTTCCGCCCTGACTCCACGCAGCCCCAGCGTGGCGCCGACAGACTTGGACGAGGCGCGGGAGTATCGGGCTTCCTAGGGTGTACCTAAATGGAACGCCTTCGATGATGTACGTATCCGATGAGCGTGTTTACTAACTTCAACACGTGTCATTCCAGTTGGCTTATTATGTAGTGCGTACAATTTCTATGTGTGTTTGCCTTTTGCCCCTTTATATGTGTTTCATGACTGTCGTTGCTTAGTACAATCATCTCTTGTGACTTTTCGCTGCGGTCCTAAACCCTAAACCCTAAACCCTAAACCCTAAACCCTAAACCCTAAACCCTAAACCGCCTCTTTAGGATTGAGCTTTAGGCGGCTGAGAGAAGCAATCAGGTGCTACGGGTTTCTCGGGTAGACTTTAGGGCTTTCCATCTCTTGGCATGCCCTGAAAAACACCACAGGATCGGGTTTTGGGTTTAGGGTGTATGGTTTAGAGGGTTAGGGTTTAGGGTTTAGGGTTTAGGGTTTAGGGTTTAGGGTTTAGGGTTTAGGGTTTAGGGTTTAGGGTTTAGGGTTTAGGGTTTAGGGTTTAGGGTTTAGGGTTTAGCGCCTTTAGGGCTTAGGTTAGGGTTCAGGGTTTGGAGGGTACCCGGAGCCCTTCGGCGAAGCTTTAAATTCACAATGGGCAAACGCCTTTTGAGTGGGAAATCTTGTGGCAAGGACAGCGATTGCCTCGAAGATGTCGAGGACAGTGCCGTGATCGATATCTTATCCGACCCCGAAACGCCAGCACCTTGGGCAGCAAGACGCCCTTTTGGATTGAGGCTTTGTTTTGGGGGTAACTTCGCAGCTTCTTGAAGTACAAGAAGGGGCCCCCTCGTAAAAAATGTTATAGGCAGAGTTAGAAGGACAATACACACCCCCAGGTTGGGGAATATTGGGTAGCCTGAGAGACATGGACAAACTGCATCCGAGTCCCAGATCTCTAAATGTAGTGGGTTTGGGGTTGATTGGGCATATACGTAGGGATTCTAGGCTTAGTCGGCTTTAGGCTTTCCAGGGTTTATAGGGTTTATAGTTCTTTTAGATTTTCGAATCCTGTTGGTGCGGGATGTCTCACATCTCACCCTAAACCCAAAACCCTAAACCCTCAACCCTCAACCCTAAACCCTAAACCCTAAACCCTAAACCCTAAACCCTAAACCCTAAACCCTAAACCCTAAACCCTAAACCCTAAACCCTAAACCCTAAACCTTGCCTGTGATGTGCAGGTCGCCAAAGGGGGCCCTCGGCGCGCCTTGGATGCCCCCACACCGCCTCCGGTTCCAGCTAGGCGCTTCAGCAGTGCAGGGGATGGATGGAAAGGGTTTAGGGTTTAGGGTTTAGGGTTTATGGTTTAGGGTTTAGAGGATTAGGGTTTAGGGTTTAGGGTTTAGGGCTTACAGGATGTCACGGGCTGCCAAACAAAGCCATCCCTCATTGTTGGCACTTGCCCAAAACGTGCAAGATCTCGTCATGCGCTCTGCTGGATCGGAATCTTTCTGTTCTAAGCCACTTCTATGCTTTTAAAACCTTTTATCAGCCTCCTTCAAACCCTTGGTAGCCCAGTGGTACCCTCTTCCCTTTTTTGTTTCTGGTGTCCTTTTAAGGTAACCAACCCCAAAAAGGGGTACCCTTAATACTGAAAGTACTTGAGATAGGGAATAAGGGGCCTAAGTGCACAGTAGTTAATTAGGTACATGGACCCTTAGGGTAAGCTACTATTTGCTTAATTAAGAACCTTGGGCTAGATGGCCATGACCATCCTCGTGCAGGCTGCCGGCCCCCACACGAGCAAGCCTGGACGTGGTTCTGGGCTCGGTAGGGTTTAGGGCTTAGGGCTTACGGCTTAGGGTTTAGGATTCAGAAGGTCAGAGGGTCTGGGGCATTTTGCTACTAGGAAGGGGGGGGGGGGGTTCTTAATTAAGCAAATCGTAGCTTACCTTAAGGGTCCATGTACCAAATTAACTGTTGTGCACTTAGGCCCCTTATTCCCTATCTCAAGTGCTTTAAGCCCTAATAAGGTACATGGAAACCTTAGGGTTAAGTCTTGATACAACAGCCGAAGGGGTGCTCTGGGGTTTGAGTTGGCGTGTTTTTGGATAATTGCCCTGTGGGATGGGGGTTTAGGGTTTGGGGTTTAGGGTTTGGGGTTTAGGGTTTAGGGTTAGGGCTTAGGCAGGCAGGCGAGGGTATGGTGCCAGATACGCACGGCTCTAGGTACTGTTCGCCGGCCCAGCCCCACACCAGACCTGCAACGACATGCCGACAGATCACTATTGTTTGTTATGCAGATGTTTACATGTTTTTGTCGTTCGGTCTTGGTTGTTACAGTAGCTATTATTCGGCCCTTTATGCCCATAGATCAGTCTCATATTCACGATTTTTACCAGGTTAGGCCTTATTCCCCCCCATTTAGGATTGAGTTACCCTTTCAGGCCCCTTGAAAAACCAAAAGCGATACCCCTCTTATTCCCAGGTTACTCCAAACCCTAAACCCGAAACCCTAAACCCTAAACCCTAAACCCCTCAAATTCGGTTACTCTGGGCTCTCGGATTGCCTGCGCCCTTGTTGGAAGTCGAGGCCCCCCGCAGCCGTCAGGCCAGCTTGCTGCTTTGGGCGCAAGCGCCCGACGGCACATCCAAGAGGCCCACACTTCCAGGGTTTAGGGTTTAGGGTCTAGGGTTTAGGGTCTAGGGTTTAGGGTTTAGGGTTTAGGGCTACGAGGCCTGACAATCCGCATGAGCAAACCCTATAAGAAGTTGTAAGGTCTCAGGGGTTATAGTCGAGTGGCCCATCCTGCCTTGCGCACTGAGAGGCAGAGAGAAAGGTAGCCATGTCCTCAAACGGCTCCAGCTGTTGTAGGGCAACAGTTCAGAAGAACACCCAAAGGGCACCAGCTTTAGAATCATACCGGCAGTGAGTTGTGCTTCAAGGTAATCCCATATGATGTTGCAGCTTGACCCCGAACTGGAGCCTGCAGGGACAGGGACCCCTAACTCCCGGAACTTTTTGCGCAATTCTTCGGTATGTTGGAATATGAGTCACACGTGCCTCTCTTCAACCACAACGCAAATCTTGAAGCTACTTACATCGGGCCGGGCAAGCCGCCGACCATCGGGCCGCGCGATGGTGGCGAGCGCCGCGGGCCGCAAGAAGCCACGGAAAGGCAGCAAGAAGGCCGCCGGGCAGCCGAAGCGCGGAGGCGCACACGCCTGCCTTGGGAACCACAGGAATCCCCCAAAAATTGGGGCCGCATGAGCCCTAAACTAGTCTAAATCCCGATGAATAAGGTAGTATGAACCACAAACCCTATTAAGCTTCATGTGGCTTAGGGCTTAGGCAAAAGGGTTTAGGGTTTAGGGCCTAGGGTTTAGGGTTTAGGGTTTAAGGCGCAGCGCCTGCGGATGACGTGGACCGGCCGCTGGCAGCCGAGGTCTCGGCCTTCGTGGAAAGCCTTGGGGACCTCGGGGGAGCCGGACGAACCTGGAAACGGCCCAGGCCCTCCTTGAAAGAGGCTGATGCTTGAGGACCAAAGGGTTTAGGGTTTTGGGTTTAGGGTTTAGGGTTTAGGGGTGATATACCCTCTACTACTAAGATCCCTATTAAGGTATATTAAGCCCTCTTAAGGTTCATGTGATCCTTTAAGGATGGGGACCTGCCTGCGGAGCTGCAAGAGGCAGAGATCTTGGGGGGGTCCTCGGACGCTGGGTCCTCCATCTCCTCGGAGGACGAGGGCAAAGGAGCCCAGAAGCGACAGAAGCGAAAAGAGGCGGAGAAGCAGGCAAAGCAAGGCGAGGCCACTACCAAGGCGACGGCGCACGCGGCACAAGCGGACGCGGAGAGCTTTCAGGGCAAGCGCGACGGACAGATTTTCCTTGCGGCCCTGCCTTCATCCGTGGATGGCGAGACACTGAAGAAGGACTTCGCCAAGTTCGGGGAGATCTCACGCTTCTACTTCCACAGGGAGAGCGATGGGTCCCCACGTGGCACAGCCTGCATCTTCTACAAAGATCCCCAGGATGCTGACAAAGTCATTCTACTGGATGGTATACAGTACAAGGGCCAGGCGATCAAGGTGAAACGCAGGCCCCCACGGAAGCCTGGCGGAAAGCAGGCTCGGAAGCAGCAGGAGCAAGCCGAGACCGAGGCACTTCCTGAGGAGCCCGTGCCCATTCCTACAGCTGCAGCCGCAGTGGACGCCAAAGTGCCGGGCTCTGGGATCCTCAAGCGCACGCAGAAGCATGGGGCGAAGCGGAAGGTGGCAGCAACGACTGCCCAAACATCAGCTGATGGAGACATTGGTGAGAAAGCTCCCAAGGCCAAGAAAGTCAGGCGCCGGCGGGCATCCTCGTCTTTGACATCTTGAGCTGAGCTCAAGGTTTTTGGGGGTGCATAAATGCTGCACATACTTGATGGCCGTCTCCACGCTCTCAAAAGTCACACAGCGCCTGCTCCCTGAAAGGCGCAGCCCTAATGCCTGCGTGACGCGGCTTCCGACTATTTGAGGCTTTAGTCTGGGCTCTTGTAGATGCGAAGAACCATGAACCTTTTGGCTATTTGCTTAAGAACCCCACCCCCCCCCCAAAAAAAAAAAAGAGAATAATAATAATAATACAAACATTCTTCCTCTTAAGGGCAATCCAGGAAGTGGGATTCCCCATATTATTTTCATTTTTTTTTTGGCGGGGGGTTCTCAAGCAAATAGTTTTGTAGGCTAAGCTTAATCCCACTCACGAATGAACCACAAACCCGTTTCAGGTTCATCAGGTCCTGCAGGTTCCGACCCAATCTCTGTAAGCCCGAGCCCTACCTGCAGAAGTCCCTATCTGCACAAGTCCCAACAGTGTACGCCAACTCGAGAGAGAAACCGCGATTCGTAGATACGAGCTCCTCCCGACGTCCACCAAGCCAAAACCCGAAACCCTTCTTAACAAGGCGCTCAACACAAGACAAACCTACTAAACCCCAAACAGTCGTACCGAAGACTTGCCTGCCGTGTGCGAGTGTGAGGGTCGAAATCCAAATTCTCCGTAAGCCCTTATAAAACCGATGCATAAATCTAAGCTCAAATTCTAGACCCATACATGTATATATATATATATATTATTTATCTATGTGCATATTTAGTTCTTAATTTGCTTATGTATATTTCTGTGTATAGTATGGGTGTGTAGTATGTATATACTTGATTTGTTTGCTCCCCACCCTCGGCGTCGGCGTGGGGTTGTTGGAATTTAAACTCAACTCTTCTCCTCGCCCGGTCTGCTCCTCGCCCAACCCCAGGGTGCCCAACCCCAGAGTGTCCCTGGAGTGCCCAATCCCAGAGTATTCCTGGAGTGCCCAATCCCAGAACTGTCCCTATAGTGCCCAGCCCCAGAGTATCTCTACCCAGATGGGGATGTTCGACGTAAAATAATTTCTGTGTTTATTTCGGTCTTATCTGTTCCCTACGGCAAGGCCGAAGAGGATCACGCCGCAGGAGGCCGTGGCGCGACGCCGCGAGCGCCGGGAGCGGACTGCAGATCTGAGGAGCCTCGGGAGATTTTGAGCTGAGGGTTTAGGGTTTAGGGTTTAGGACCTTCGGGCCTTTTCAGCGGAGGGCTTAGGGGTTTAGCCCTTTAAAAAAACCCTATTAAACCCTCTGAAGCCCCTGAAAGAAGTTCACGAACCAGAGTAGAGAATCGGCCATGTTTTGTAGGGTTCCTAAGGGAGGGGGGGAGGGGGGCATGGAGGGTAGGCCCTAAACCCTAAACCCTAAACCCTAAACCCTAAACCCTAAACCCTAAACCCTAAACCCTAAACCCTAAACCTACTCAGAGAACCTTGGGGAAGCTTAGGGAGTAGTGGGGAGTATGAGGGGACCTTGGGTGACGTACCGCCCTTGAACCCCCCTCCGCCTAAACCCTAAACCCTACACCCTACACCCTAAACCCTAAACCCTAAACCCTAAACCCTAAACCCTAAACCCTAACCCTAAACCCTAATTAAACCCTAAACCCTAAACTCCCTTAAGAATCCCATAAGTTGTCGGCAGATCCGGAGACCGCCAGCTACCGCCGCCGGTCGTCGGCTACGACCCAAGCATCGAGCGCCTCTGTGTGAAGACGGAGGCCTTTCGGCTTAGGGCTTGGGGTTTAGGGTTTAGGGTTTAGGGTTTAGGTTTAGGGTTTAGGGTTTAGGGTTTAGGGTTTAGGGTTTAGGGTTTAGGGTTTAGGGTTTAGGGTTTAGGGTTTGGACTCCTTAACTCTTGGGGTTGCTATCCACACTTGATGCTGCTTCGTGTTCAAGAAATCACCGTATCGATGTCATGTCTTTGTCCCTGTATGTAAGAAGTCCTTCGGTGTGCTGAACTCCAAACATGTTAGCCGCAAAAGCGGGCTCCCTCAACTGTAATCTTCCAACCCCACCGTAAAAATTCAGCGCCAAACCCTGAACCCCCAACCCCAAACCCTAGACCCTAGACCAAATCCTAAACCCCAAACCCCAAACCCAATTCCCTGCAATGTGAACGTGCAGTTCAGCTAGGCGGGTGGCAAAAAAAAACCCAAACCTTATAAACCCCTAAACCCCTAAACTCTAGACCCTAAACCCTAAACCCTAAACCCTAAACCCTAAACCCCTAAACCCTAAACCCTAGGTTCCTTGGAGACCTAAGTGCGTGCGTGCCCCCGCGCAGGTGGAAGGTTTGGAGGTCCACCTCCCCGTGCAACCCCTGGATGCCCAGCAGCTAAGGGGATCTTGGGAACGATGTTGTTTTTTGTCGTTTTGGGGTAGGGTTTAGTGCTTGGGGTTGAGGGTTTAATCCCTTAGGCTTTAGGGTTTAGAGTTTAGGGTTTAGGGTTTTTGGAGGGGCCTTGATGACGTGTTTTTTCTTTCCTGGCTTTTTGGGTTTCGGGTTAGGGTTTAGGGTCTAGGCCCAAGAATCAGCAACTGTGTTTGCTTCATTTTTGCATAAGCAGCAATCAGCTCTTGCTTGTTTCTCCAAAAAGCTTCCTAAGAAGAAGCCCCTAAACCCTAAACTTACTAAACCGTAAACTCTAAACCCCGGACCCTAAACCCTTTGAAGCCAGGGTTCCAAGCGCAGTAGAGGCAGCTTGTGATGGCGGCCGCTGTTCGCGCCATGGCGGAGCGGCGCGTGGCGTTTGTGGAAAGCCCCACAGGCCCGCGAGCCTTGCAGGGTGTAAGTAGCTATTCCTGCTTAGGGTTTAGGGTTTAGGGTTTCTTGCTAGCGCGTATCTTGAGTTGCACAATGAGATGGCAAATGCGTGTTTTTCAGATTTGGTTGAGCTTGTTGTCAGGGGTCTCTATGGTATGGTGTGGGAACGGGTGTGGGCTGGCATTGTCATGACGTGCAAATTTGAGTTAAACTTCCAGCTTTCATCACTGGCAACGGGCCTAGGTATGTCGGTTACAAGTAGGGGCCCCTTAGAGTTGCGAGGGTCCTAAACTGGGTTATAGGTATCATAACCTAGGTTATACGGCCTTTGTTTGAGGTTATAATAAGACGACCCTTACTTGTAGGGTTTTGTGTTTGGAGCGCATGCTCGGAAGCACATGCGCGTGCGTGGAAGGCACCGGCAAGACATTGGCCTTGCTGTCGGCAAGCTTGGCGTACCAGCGAAGCTGTCACCAGAAGTGGGCAGAGGCTCCCCAGTGTGCATTGGCCTTAAGGACCAAGTGAACCTTAAAAGGGCTTGGGGTTCATATACCTGAATTGGGATTATAGTAGTACAGGCAGTATAGGGAAAATGGCCCCAGTGTTAGGGTTCATGTACCCCCCCCAAGGGGGAGGATACAGACTGAGTTGAGATGGCACAGTGTAGTGCTAAGGTGTTTAGGGTTTAGGGTTTAGGGTTTTTCTGGTGGTTAGAGTTACATGTCCGTCGGGGGCAGCAGCCGATTTAGTTGCATCCCAAGAGGCTGCCCCAAAAGCCTGTCTAGTGTCTGTTAAGGGCCGGTTTAGGGTTTAGGGTTTAGGGTTTAGGGTTTAGGGTTTAGGGCCCTTCGAATCCAGCCCTTACCCCCTTGAATCCTGAGCACGGAAGTTAGGCTCTCGGGTTTAGCCACCTCACCATGCAGAATGTGCGTACACATGTTTACACGCACACCTTGGCTTCAGAGGTGCCTGTAAGCCATCACCCCTGAGCCCTCGCGGCCTTGACTTCGGCCCTTGACCCGGATCCTTGCCTTGGAGTTCCCCTCCCTGCATGGTTTAGGGTTTAGGGTTTAGGGTTTAGGGTTTAGGGTTTAGGGTTTAGGTTAGCACTGTCTGAGAAGAAAGCTAGGTCCCCAGAACCATGGAACTACATGTAAGGGTGCGGGTGTGAACCTTCCTAAACCCTCTGCCAAGAAACCCTAAGCCCCCAACGAGCATATTTTTGGGGGGTTTCCGAAATTAGGGGTACCTCATTGGGGTCCTTGTTATAAGGGAATAATAATATTTGGGGTCTATCTTAGGGTCCTTTTTTTTCGTAGCCCTAAACCCTAAACCCTAAACCCTAAACCCTAAACCCTAAACCCTAAACCCTAAACCCTAAACCCTAAACCCTAAACCCTAAACCCTAAACCCTAAACCCTAACCCTAAACGAGCAGATTGTTCTAAGGCTGGCCACACGCTGCCTCCGGCCCCTGCCAGCAAGGTCCCACCTTCCAAGGCCGACCCCGAGGCCTCCGTTTAGGGTTTAGTTAGGGTTTAGGGGTTTAGGGTTTAGGGTTTAGGGTTTAGGGTTTAGGGGCTTTAGCTTTCAGGGCTATCGGCAGGTGTGCAAAGCTTGTTCTCCGGAAGGTCGTGCGGATGATAAACGAAATGCACATGAGCATGAGAGAGCAAGAAGGTGTTAAGATGCGGTGGCCGCAGGAATGCTCAGGGCGTATGGACTTGCGCGCTACGAACACGTACTACCTGACCCTCTAAACCCTGAACCCTTAACTAGGATGCCCAGTAGTGCCCTTATTCCCTTTTTGGGGGGTTTAGGTTCCCTTATAAACCCCTTTAAGCAAAAAAGGGCACCCTTTTTAATCCCAGATTACTGGGCAGCCTAGTTAACCGTAAATTATCAAATGTGACAGACCTCAACTTGGACCCAGAGTACGCTCTTATTCCCTTTTTTTTGATTCGTTTGGGTTCCCTTAACTTATAAGCCCCCTTAAACCAAAAAGGGCTCCCTGTCTATTCCTAGGTTACTCTTGGGCCTAGTAGAAGGCTTCACAGTGTTCACAGCGCCTTGAGGAATTCCCGAAACCCCAAACCTGAGGCGCCACTGTGGACCGGCAACCCCACAAGCATGCCTGTGGCCGAACAGACGCTGGGCCGCAACACCCTGAACTCTAATGTCGGGCCCCCCCATTAGACATATTTACTGGTATGTTTGGTAGTTTTTGCAGTAGTTACAACTTGCCATTGGGGCTGCAAGATGGAATGGTAATGGAGATATTTTTAGGCCCTATCGTACACCAAGAGTATTCGCTACTTTTTCCAATGCGAAGAATTCGGGCATCAGCTATCAGGTGGGAGGGCAGGAACACGGACGTTGCAGTTTGAGAGCCTTTGGGCTTCGCCCAACGCCTTCATCCAAGTTAGTGGTTCTTGGCGAGTCACAATCTGTGCCCTAAACCCTAAACCCTAAACCCTAGACCCACATGGAGCCTGGGTTCCCTGCCAGGCACGTACCCAGAGTGGTCTGGATAGCGCGGACTCACGACCAGAAGCTTGTTCTGCCTGGCTAATATAGGGGTCGGAAGAGTTATTCATAAATTTTCCCCTGGGGTCCTTTTAGGGTCCCTCAAAATACTGTAATGACCCTCCCCCCCCCCCCCCCCCAAAAAAAAACTCTGTTCTAATCATTCAGGCCCCTATATGACGAATTCCCCAGAGTTAATGAAGGAACGTACTTTTCTGAGGGTCGTTTTTTATGGGCCCTTCAGATGGTCCCTAACCTGCCTTTAGGGTTCTGATGTATGGGCCCTTAATTTGTTTAGGGTATGAAAGGGGTATACAAGGGGTCCCCCTTTAAGGGCACATACTAATTAAGGGGCCATGAAACTAGCCTAAGAACTTTATAAGACCATCCCGTGATCTTGATTACGAACTCTGTATATCCCTTAAGGTGTCTGGCTTTCAAGGACTCCCTAGCGGATACCCCTATTCCTGTTCTGTTGGCTGTTGGGATTTAGGGCGGTTCAGCTCACGTTCATATCTATTCGAGGTTGGCACGTTAAACCCTTTGAACATATTCCTCAACATTATCGGTTCACCAAGTAAGGGGAAAATATGAAAGATCCCTACTTGGAAGCTCTTTTGACTTAGTAAGTCTATTTCGTATCCCCTAGAATCTAGATTGCAGTCCCATGACCCACCTTACTAAAGTCAACAGCGCTTCCAAGTTCAGGTTTGGGGGGGGGGGGGGGGGGTAGGTACTTAGGGAAGCTTAGGAAGCCTTAGGGAGTAGTGCGGAGCATCAGGGACTTGGGTTAAAATCCCAGTTCATTCCCCTTTCAGCTCTTGCAACTTGGAAAAACTACCCTCAAATGTCGTACCCGGGGAGTTCTGTTTTCCCCCCCAAAACCATGGGAGCTCTTTTGACTTAGTAAGTCTACTTAGTACCCCCTAGAATCCCGGTTATAATCCCCATAGCCAACCTGTCAAACGGGCTTCCAAGTAAGCCCAAGATTAACCCGTAACACCGAAACCCCAAAAGTTTAACGCAGCCGAGGCTACAGCATGCTGTGGCAGAGCTGAGGATGTCGACCGTGGGGGAAGGGGGGGGGGGGGGGGGGGGGGGGGCGGGATGGGTCTAGGGTTTAGGGTTTAGGGCTTAGGGTTTAGGGTTTAGGGCTTAGGGCTTAGGGTTTAGGGTTTAGGGTTTAGGGTTTAGGGTTTAGGGTTTTAGGGTTTAGGGTTTAGGGTTAGGCGACCTCCTCGGAGGATTTGTGTTTCATACGAACCATAAACCAAGGCACCGAACGAGAAGGAACTGCAATTCAGGGCCCGGGCACTCCAAGTAGGATGCTGCTCTGCTGTCGTGATCCTGGGGCCCGTTGTGTTCCAGGATGCCCAGTAGTACCCTTATCCCCCTTTTTGGTAGGTTTAGGTTCCCTTATAAACCCCTTTAAGCAAAACAGGGGCACCCTTTTTCATCCTAGGTTACTGGGCAACCTAGTGTTTAGGCCGCTTTTTCGAGTTGAGGTGTTTGTTGCGCAGTGTGGGGCTTGGGGGTGCTTTTCGCCCGTCTAGTGTTCGTACAGGGGGGTTTTGTTGGTCAGCTTAGGGAGTCCAATTCTTTTTTTTGAAAGGGCGCTTTTTTATTTTCTCCCTATTTATTTACATATGTATATATATATATATATATATTATGTTTATTTGTTTATATTTATTTATCTATGTATATATGTATACATACATTGACATTTTACACACATATGAACATATTTGTAGACATAACGTTGGTCCGTATCGAGCAACAACATGTTCAGTATCTTGTCTTCATTGTCTTTTGAGTTCCAACTGGTGGCACCTCTTCCCTCCCGTCAGGAGACTGCCCTACCGCCCGCTCGAAGCACTGCGCACCTGAGCTGGCACTCTTCTTCATCCGCCTTTTGCATAAGGGGGTTTCCGGATATAAGGGTAGGTTTCTGGGGTCCTTATTATAAGGGGATCCTGTTATTTGGGATCTTTCGTAGGGGCGCCCTATCTTCGTAAACCCCCATAAGCCCTCCACCACCACCCAGGGCCTCTTGAGACAAGTGTTGGCACCCCAAGCCAGGCCCCAAAGAACATCAATCTCCCCAGGACCAGGCCGGCCAGGGTTTAGGGTTTAGGGTTTAGGGTTTAGGGTTTAGGGTTTAGGGTTTAGGGTTTAGGGTTTAGGGTACTCCAAACCCTAGTAGCCCTAGAACCCCAAAATGGCCACTGGGCCCTGCAAGCCGTCGAAAGTTACAGTGATTCTTTCTTGGACATCTTAACAATTCATCGGGGGGAAGAATGGGGGTACCCTAAATGTCTGAAGACTATCAACCCTAAACCGGCGAAGCCCTAAAGACCTTCCACCCTACTACACCCATTCAAGAGTGGTGCATGAAGTCTTCTGTAGGGTACGGTTTTCTTGCATGGCCAGTTGTGACACACTTCATAGTGGTTGGAAGCCAAGGAATATCGCGAGAACGATTTTGCTTGCATCCATTTGTGCAGAGTGTGCCCGAGCAGCAAAGATGTTTCACACCCTGCTCGCTTTGCTGCTTGCCCACGTGAGTGTTTTTTGTGTCTGCAAGGGCACCCTGACATCAGACGTCCCTGTGCTCCATGTCTGTTGGTTGTAGAGAGTCTAGGGAGCCAGGGTGTCTAGAACCGAGGCGCAAGACAAGTCGGCTGCCTGCGAGATGGCAACCATGTGCCTCCTTTGCATTTTGCACTTGCCTGGCATCAGTCAGTACCCCAACCGCCGTCGGATAATAGCTTTCGCAGACCTCAAACCCTGATCTAACAATGTCTAAACCCTAAACCCTAAACCCTAAACCCCGGAAAGATTCCCTTGCAGAAAGGCTGAGGGATCCGTCCTCACTTACCTTATAGCGTCTTAAGGTATTAAGGAACCCAGACCATAGCATCTTAAGGTATGAAGGAACCCAGACGCAATGTCAGGACTAGAAACGGCAGCGCGCTGGGCGGAGGCATCTCTGGCTGTGAGCACCTAGACAATGCCGAGACTTGGCTGCTTTGTCGTTTTGGTTTATCAAGTTGCTCTTGGGATGTTCCCCCTTATACTCCTAGTAGGGGTCATCATAGGGAGTACTATAATCCCGATTCAGGACTGTTAGCTTCGGGGGAACATCCCAAAGTTGCTCTTAAAAAAAATGGTGCATTGGATATTTATACAACATGTCAAAGACGGTGTAGGTGTTGAGCACGTCTGCTCTGCTTGGTCGTGGGAAATTCCGTCCTTCGGGATGTCTTTTGTGCTCGGTATTGCCGACTGGGTCGTTCAGTGGTACCCTATACCGTTTAGGGTTAAGGGTGAAGGGTTTTGGGTTTAGGGTTTAGGGTTTAGGGTTTAGGGTCCCCTTGTAAAGTATAACCAAGTTACAATAGGGCTACTGGGCTGCCCAGCCGAGGAAGCCATCGGCTACCCCACCATCGCGGAACACCGGTCGAAGTTCGAGTCAGGGGGGAAGCTGGCTGTGTACGACATCGAGGACTTAGTCAAGGCGGGCTATGTTGGTGGGAGGCTTCGGCAGCTAATCCCGGAACCCTAAACCATCCTAAACCCTAGACCCGAACACCCATACAGCACGTGCACAATGGTGGAATCTCGCCGGGAATCGCCCTGCTGAGCAGAATGGAGGATGGCCACGACACCCACACCTGCCCGTACCACGCTGCCCTGGACTTGCCACTTGGCAGGCTAATAGTTTAGGGCTTATCGGGCGTAGTAAGGTCTATATCGGGTCTAGGGTTTAGAGAAGTACGTAGAGCAAGGAGACCGGGATTCAACAAAACAGGGCTTAGGATGGGGATACACGGCTTCGGATGGTTGAGGGTCATTTTGTTTAGGGTGTACTAGCTATGAAAAATGAGTTGTTAACGTCGGGAGGCCTGGGCGTGGATGGGATGAACCCTAAACCCTAAACCCTAAACCCGTATGGGGCATAGCAGAACGGACGGAGCTACCAAGGCACCCCAGCCAGGAAACTCTGAACCCCAGAGCAGGAGCAGCACTTCCCTGAAGCATGAAGCCAAATATCAGTCACCAAGAAACCTTCCCTAAGGGTCCATGTACCTCATTATCAGATACTTGGGCCCCAAAGTCCTTATATAGGAAGTACTTTAAGGCCCAAGTATTCCCTATTTAGGTACATGGACCTTTAGGGCTTAATTTCTCTGAAATCCTGAGCCATTAAATCCCTGACTCCAGCCACCAAATACTGAGAAAATACATGTTTGCTCATGAAGTGGTCAAATACAAGCAGGGGCCCCCTGACTATACTAACCTTAGTTAAGGGAGTTATAAGCCTACATAGTGATACCTATAACTCAATTTAGGGCCCTTATAACCCTATTTACAACTAGGGGCCCCCCACATGTACCTGCCATGCCAAGGACAGCAGAAGGGGCTGGTCTGGTTTTGGCGACGTATCCGATGCTTCTGGCCGCCGGGCAGATTTGTGTTTTGGATCCCATGCCTGGTAGCACCTAAACCCTGAACTCTAAACCCTAAACCCTAAACCCTAAAGCCCTACCCTTCCAATTCTTTGTAGGGGCTTAAGGTCCTTGTAATTCTTGTCACTAATGAAGCGTGGACACGACATGTTGCGGTGGCCTAGCTCTTCGACTTAAGCCCAGAAGGCTCAGAAACACACGAAGCCCTAAACCACAACCCAAAACCCTATGCTCCAAGCCCTTGCCTACTGCACATGGGCGCGAGAGTCGCTGCCCGAAACACCCTCCTTCCTTGGGGAATGAACCCTGCATCGTTAGGATCTTCTATCGATACTACACAATATTCCATAAATGTTAGTCATCCCTATTTAGTGTTTGTAGGGTTTAGGGTGTAGGGCTTAGGAATACGAACTCCTAAGCCCTAATCCTAATCCCTATTTAGGGTTTAGGACATACACACAAACCCTAAACCCTAAACCCTAGAGATAGCGCCGAGTAAACCCTAAACCTAAACCGCACATGCAGTCCCAAAGGACCCCTGTGTGCGGGAGACCAGCAGTTTCAGCACCGTCCTGCAGGACTTCGGGGGTTCGACAGGTCAAAGAATGCCTCCTGAGGGTCCATGTGCCCATATAGTATGGGTCTAACGTCTAGGTTTAGGGTTTAGGGTTAAGGGTGTTTCGGGTGTTCCGGGGGTTTAGGGTATTTAGGGTGTTTAGGGTGTTTAGGGTTTTTGGGGTTTAGGCTTTAGGGTTTAGGCAACGTACTTGAACCTTGGGCCCGAAAGCTAAGCTAAGGCTACTACATCGGAACCACTTCTTGCGGCCCAAGAGAACACCACATGGGGCCGTTTTGCGTTTAGGGTTTAGGACTTCCCTCCCTGCTGGCTGGTGCCTAGTAGGGAATGAGGGAATGAAGTACCCTATATACTCCCTGAAAGGTTTGTCTAGGGCCTGAATTCCCTCATTCCCTACTAAGAACCCGGGGGCCTTTTGCAATACAGAGCGATTCTGTTCAGGATTCCCAAAAAGGGACGAGAGAACTGCCTGAATCCCTCAACTCCAAACGGGCCTAAACCTCTAAGCGGAGCGGCCGTTAAGCCTGTGGCTTGCTCGGCATGTTTTGTTATGTTGGGGATCGTTTGGGATGCTCCAAACAGTCCTTAATAGGGACTATAATAGCGAGTACTACAAGCCCTTTTAAAGTTAGTACGAGGGGGAACATCTTAAATGGATCGTTGTCTTAAGGTCGGGGCTCAATCTTTGAGAGAGAGAGAGAGAGGACCGCGTCGTGGGTTTCCGGGAGTCTTACTTAGAGTAACACCTTTCTACCCTGAAGAAAGGCTAATGTACCTTGTGTAAAGGTACAAGGTTACTCTTAAACCCTAAGCAAAAAAACCCTAAAGCAGGGTTTTAGGGTGTACAAGGATGCCATCGTCGTCATCGACGAGGCCCACAACATCCCTCAAGCTGCTCGCGATGCGGCCACGCCTCCCTGGCTGAAAGGATGAAAAGCGTGTTTAAAGTTCAGGATTTTCGTGTAGGGTTCAGGCTTTAGGGTTTAAATAGGGTTTGGGGTTTAATTAGGGTTTAGGGTTTTCAGGATTTCCGTGCTTAAAAGGGTTTTCAGGATTTTCAGGGTTTAGGGTTTTTAGGGTTTTGGGGGGGAGGGTAAGTTAGAGGGAGACTTCAGCGAGTCCGACTTATCAAGCGGTTCCGGTGGTCACTGGCTTCGAGTTGATGGAAATGATGGAAACAGACCAAGTCAAAGAAGAGGACGCTGTTTCCAGAAGCAGATCTAATGAATGGTGAAGAATGAAGAAGCGAAGGGGCCTACAAGCGCCCCAGCTACCAGCTGAGCCGTCACAACCGCCGGCCAGCATTGATGAAGCAGCTTCCGCTGCGTTACACATTAGAATGCCTAGGTAGGCCCTTGGACATTTCAGATTTTCCCTTATTAGGTTTAAGAGGATCATATGCAGCAATAGTTTTTGGCCATCCTAGATGCCTGATGCAAGCATGGCACGCAACGCCACTGTGCATCTCTCAGGTGCTAGATTCATGGGTTTCCCTACTGCCCCCCTCTATACTACCCCCCCCCCCCCCCCTAGGTTCCCCCATTAAAGAACCTTACTTAGGATTTTTGATCCCGAAAAAGCCTTCATTATGGTGGGAACCTAGCGTGTGGTTGTATAGAGGAGGGGAGTTGAGGAACCCATGCTAGCTTTGCATGTCAGTAAGGTCAAGATCCGCGCCGCGGCGTGTAGCGACATAGCACCTAGGCCCTATAGGACCTGGGGAGCAAGGCCCAGGCAAACCTGTTTTGCACGAGTTGCAACGGCTATGGCATGAATGAGGCCGTTGATTATATCGGTTTATCGGTATACTACTATACCTGGACTGATTGTAGTAGTATAGTAATGTACTAGTGTAGTGTTACAGTACTATAGTATTATAGTACTATAGTAGTATAGTATCGAAGTATTATATTCGTATATTGTTCTAGCTACTATTCCAAAATTAACTACGACAATTGTTCTTTTTTAGTGCCTTCCCCAGGTTTCGTGGCACTTTGTCCGACCTCCACTTTCTCAGCTCAAAGCTTCACGGCCTCTTGCCCGGTTTAGGGTTTAGGGTTTAGGGTTTAGGGTTTAGGGTTTAGGGTCTAGGGTTTAGGGTGTAGGGCTGCTTGCCCTTGGATGCTGCATTAGCGGGTCAGAGTCCTCAGACAGGCATTGACTTGCCGCCGCGTATGTGCGTTCAGCAGGAGCCTGAGCCCTAGACCCCAAGAAATCTAGTGTTCGGGTTTAGGGTTTAGGGTTTAGGGTCGTTCGGGTTTAGTTTAGGGTTGAGGGTTCCGGATTGTTGGGTTTCGGTGGAGGCTTGAGGGTTTAGATTCTTGCAATGTGTTTAAGGCCTGGCACAAGCAACCGCAGAGCGAGAGGCCTGGTGACTTTCTACTGGGTTTAGGGTTTCGGGTTTAGGGTTTTGATCGGTCACCCTGGGCACCCTGGTTTGGGGTCGCTTCTTATTTGTTGCTGTTGAGGTTTGACGCCCTTTGTTGAAATTTTACTCCCCTTAACAAGCCTAGACCCTAGCCAACCCTAACCCCTGAAGCCTAAAGCCACAAATTCCTAAACCTTTTTCTTAGTAGGTTGCCAGGTTGCTGAGGACCCTAGTGATGGCATGCTGGGAGCATTTTTCATTAGTTCGCATCTGCCTTGTCGAGTTTAGAAATTTGGATTTAGGGTTTAGGGTTTAGGGCTTCTTTGGGCTTGGGGCTTTTGGAGTGTGTTCCAGGGGTTGATGAGGGTTGGGACACCTTGCAATCCCGGCGTTGTCTGCCCTAAACCCTAAACCCTAAACCCTAAACCCTAAACCCTAAACCCTAAACCCTAAACCCTAAACCCTAAACCCTAAACCCTAAACCCTAAACCAGCAGCCGGGGGTCTTTCTTTATCAGATCCTGGGAGGCCGTCGACCTCGCCGAGCGCGTCTGCGGGGCGGCCCCTTTGGCCTGGGATTTTCGCCCAAGTATCCCTAAACCCTAAACCCTAAACCCTAAACCCTAAACCCTAAACCCTAAACCCTAAACCCTAAACCCTAAACCCTAAACCCTAAACCCTAAACCCTAAACCCTAAACCCTACCAAAGAAGCTGGTCAAGATTTGGGGCTCAGGGCTTCGGGCCCCGGGCCTTCGGAATCCTTAAGAGAGGGGGCCCCAAAACCCAAAGGTACAACCTTAAGGGTCCAAGGTAGAACCCCTAGTTTAGGGTTTAGGGTTTAGGGTTTAGGGTTTAGGGTTTAGGGTTTCGGGGCGTCAGAGGGTCCTCAGACCGTTGTGAGGAGGGACTTTTGCGCGCTGACTTGCCAAGGTCACTCGGCTTCACGACTCTTGGCCTCTCCTGGACACCCGAAGTACATATAATATGTGCTCCTCGAGCCACAAAAGTACAGACCCTGCACCCTAAACCCTAGAATCTTGAATATAGGGATTAGGGTTTAGGGATTATTGTATGGAGACGGGGGTTTCCAAAAGTTGGACAAACTACAATGTTTTACCAAGCAAGAAAGTCTCCCTGTCGGTAAACCTTACCATCCTAGAAACCCTACAGACACTGAACCCACAACCCTACAACACCCAATCATAGTTAAGGGACTTATAACCTAAGACAGGATCCTTGTAACCAAATTTAGAGTCCTCACAGCGCTACTTAGAACCAGGGGGCACTTTCGGGTCATAAGCGGAGCCTCCAGTATTCCCGATTAAGCCTCGGTTACTGTAGGGGGGGGGGGGGGGTAGTCGAGCCTGACCTGACCCCGAACCTTATCAGTGTGGGAGTATCTTCATGATGCAGAGCTATGTTATGTAGGGGTCGGAAGCAGTAGTGTTCCTTATGGTCCCCACATATATATATGATTGTTAAAGCCCCTGTCTTATGTAACTTCCTGCGCGCGTCTGCATGAGCGGCATGCCACGCGGCCGTTTCAACTTTTGCTGAAATCTCGCCGTTCGTGTAACTTGGAGGGCGTTCTCACATGGATATTCCGAAAGCCCTAGCAAGAGCCCCAAGAAGTCCCCAGCATTGCCCCAAGAGGAGCCCTGCAAGCCTGGAACATGTGGTCAAAGTCATGGGGCCCTTTGTGACCTATAGACCCAAGAGATACCAGACTTCTGAGCAAACCCATTTCTGTAGCAACTACCTCTGGTCGTCTTGTAGCTAGCTTCACTTCACTGGACGTTGCCGGGCTCATGGTCCGGACGCCATGCCAACAACTCTTGTGGATCGCAGGTGACTCGCCCGATTTGGCTTAATTTTGGGGGTTTAAAGTTTGAGGTTTCAAGTTTGAAGTTTAGGAGTTTAGGGCAACGGGTTTAGGGTTTAGGGTGTGGAGATGGACCTACAGGGTTTAGGGTTTAGGGTTTAGGGGTTTAGGGTGTGGAGATGGACCTACAGGGCAAAGTCGAGCGTTGCAGTGGCAATTGCCCATGGTGGACATTCTGGCAGATCTTTGCAGTTGTGAATCCTCGTGCGTGTGCAGTTCGAGCGGAGCTAGCAGACCATGGGACAGAGCGTGCCTCGCCGGCGTGTCCGAATGTGAGCCGGTAAACCCTAAAACCCTTTCGAAGAATGAAACCCTTGGCCCCTGAGCCCTGCGATTTGTCAGCAGTGCTAATTTTCCAGGCTAGAAGTTGTTCTGCTGGGTTTTGCAGGCCGCCCCTTCAGGTTACGGGTTTTGACTTCGTGCAACCCGTGAACCGTTCGCTCTCGCTTTCACTCCTAAGCCTAAGCGAGCTTCTGTTCCTGGGGCGCATGGGATTTGGGGCTTCCTCGACAGCCCTTTCCTTGGGGACCAACTGAACCATAGAAGGGTTTATGGTTCATACGCTTTAATTGGGACAGTAGCATAGGGTACATGACACGAGTTTTAGGGTTCATGGGGTCTCCAAGGTCAGTCACCTCTACACCTCAAAACCTGCACTCGTCCATGTCTTCCCAGGCCGAGCGTGCCGCATGCCGCCACACGGCGCTTCTCCAACCGCTCACCCCGCAAGGGGCCTCCGCCACAGATGGCTACTCTGGCGGAAGGGTGCAGGGTTGAGAATGGGGAGCTGAACATATGTTCCCCGAAGGGTCCATGTACCTACCTCGCATATACTCGCGTCGGAAAGGGGTTGCTCATGAAGTAGCTTTTGGGCCCGAGTATAGATAGTTACATGGGCCCTTATAAGGTTTGGTGATCCGGTTTGGTGATCCGGTCGATTGATCTCTTGCTTGAAGGGCCTTCTGGAAGCCGCAAGCCGCAAATATTCGGGGAGGCTGTGCTTTGGGGCATCGTATCACAGGCATCTGCTGAACCGCCTGCTGCTCAGGTTGTGCGCAGCTTCCTGACCGAGGCCGGCCATTTGCGAACCATGCGCCCAAAACCTGATCGCTTAACGCCCCTAAGCCCTAAACCCCAAGCCTTGCTTTTCTTTGCCTGAGGCAGGGCTTCGGTAAGCCTCCGGCTATAACTAAGTCCCAGGCAAGGTTTCAAATCGAACATTTGCGTCGATCGCCTGGACCGGTCACATGGTGTGGTGCCAAATCCCAATTGCAAGGCTTGACAGCCCGGGGCAAGAGCAACTAGAGCTGGCGGGAATATGGCTGCCATTTCTCTGCCTTCTCCCTGCTCACTCTCACTCTCATTCTGACGCTCACTCTCACTCTCATCCTCGCTCTCGCGCTCTCTTTCTTTCCCTCTCCTCAGTATTCCCATTAAGTACTTGCCTTCGAGCTTTTAACGCCCTACACCCCGGCGCCCTGGGGTTCTTTCTAAGCCCAACACCTACACCCGAAGAAGAGAGGCAGAGTCCACGATTCTCCGCGCTTGGATCAAGAACTTCGACCCAGAGAGCTCCGGATGCAATCTAGTAGTTGCCAAAGGGGTTTTAGGGTTTAGGGTGTAGGGTTTAGGGTTTAGGGTTTAGGGTTTGGAGCTTAGAGTTTCAAGATTCCCCCGGCCTTCTGATGCGAGGAGCAGGGTGTGATAGTCTTTGGGCTGTGTCCCGAACCCCGAGTTCACAATCCAAGGCCCCTACCGTGAAACACTTACTGCAAAGTGAGGCTAGGCAGCGTCCCTAAACCCTAAACACGAAACCCTAATCCCTGGGCTGCGAGCGATAAGCCGTAGACTCCACCCGTAGTTGCCTTATAGGGTTTAGACTTGGCAGCCCAGTGGTACCCTTTGTTGTTGTTTTTGCTTCAAGCTTCCCGTCTCAAGTAAGCACCCTCCCCCAAGGGCACCCTTAGTATGATGCTGTTAGTATGGTGACTGGGCTGCTCTCGGTGAAGTCATCGCCAGGAGAGCTTACCTTTAAGGCTACCAAACTAAAATGCGTCAGGCCTACTTGCAGAACCCGTCTTTTGGAATTCTATGTTAGACAGCCTCTCTGAAAAAGAGGTTCTGTTTTGGGGGGTCGGAGCCCCTCCTGCAGCCGAGTTCTAACCATCATAGAGCCTTCTCCCAGGGGCCAAAGCTTAGTTTCGATTGAGGGCCTAGGACCCAGAGTAGTAGGCCCTTAGTCTTTTTTTTGTTCAGGGCTCAGGTTCCCTTGTTTTCCCCTTTGAACCAAGAAGGTTGCCCTTCCTGTTCCGAGGTTACTCTTGGGTCTAGGGGCTGTGGTCAGGGCAGATTGTGAGGGTTTAGAATTCAGAGCCTTTAGGGTGTCAGGGTTTACTTTGGGCTTAACCGTAAACCCTGGCTCACACTACCCGTGAGCCTGAAAGTAATGGAAATCTGCAGAGACTTGCTCATTCTCACAAGTTCGCATCCGATCTTTCTTCTGCTTCCTGATCTGTGGACGGTCAGGTACAAGTTGCACATCACCACGGATCAGATGCCTGGCATTGACAGTAGAGGAAGCAATACATTTGCAGCTACTGCGCCGATCCCCATCCCGATCCTTGCGGAACCCTGACCCTAAACCCTAAACCCTAAACCCTAAACTCAGGGGAAGGATCTGCAGATTGTGGCTCAAAACCTGAGTCTAGGACCTGCCACGCCCCAAGCCTGAACCTGACTGTTTGTGGGTGCAGTCCAACCAGACTTCCTACTCTAAACCCTAAACCCTAAACCCAAAAAGGATTTGTACGTGGGACTTCTGTGCTCAAAGGGCCAGCTCGCCATCCTCGGATCGCTTTTTTCAGGGTACCGGGTGGCTGTGTGCATGTCCTTTGATCACAGCAATAGAGGGGGCCAAGACTATGTCAAGTAAGGAGCATGCCTTACTTGGTAGCCTAGTGCTACCCTTTTGCCCTTTTCTTTTTTCTGTTTCAAGGTTCCCTTCTGAAGTAACCGACGCAAAAAGGGCACCCTTATGCATAATACGGTTACTGGGCTACCAAGCTTAAGTATAGAGCTCCTTTTCGCATGATGGCATCGTATATTCCTTAAGCAGGGGGTCTCCACCGCCTCTCAGGTTCTGTATGGGCATGGAGAACATGGGCTACTGCAACGTGGCCGCAGATGACAGGCTGTCGCCTGCCTTGTGCTTCTTTGCAGTGACTGAATCATGGTCGCATGTTCTTCGAGTAAACCCTACAAACCCGATAAACCCTACAAACCCTATAACCACTACAAAGCCCATAAACCCTATAAACCCTCAACCCTTGTTTGGTGTAGCCTCTTTTTTTTTTTTTTTTTTGGGGGGGGGGGGGGGGGGGGGCAGGGGCATAGGCAGGGTTTATGAACTTAAGTAGCAAGTTTAAGTTCAACCTGGGTTCAGCTAGGACCCGGAGTGGCGCCCGTATTCCCTTTCTTTAGGGTTCAGGCCCCCCTAAAACCGCTTGAAACCAAAACAGGCACGCTTTTCATTCCTGGGTTACTCCTGGGTTCAGTCTTCTGCATGTTTTTTATTTCGCACTCTATGCGCTGTTAATCAGGCCAAGGCCAGAATGCGTGTGCAAGAGACCGTGGTTTAGGGATTTAGGGTTTAGCCTACAAGAAGGGACCTCCCTAGTTATAAGTAGAGTTATAAGAACCCAAAGTTGGGTCATTAGGATCCTATCTTATAGGCTATAAGACCCTGAATTATTATAGCAAGGGGGCCCCTCCTTGTAAAGAAGAGTCGAAGAACAGGTTTAGGTGTATATGGGCTTAGGCTTCGGCACTCGCGTCTGGGACAGGGTTTTAACAGTGCCCAGAGAAGTTAAAGATTCCTGCGCCTTTCACCCTGCTCCAACGCAGAAGACGCCAGAAGAAACTGAGGCGGTGATGTTTATTTGCTCTTCCAGCGCCTGGATGTAGACGGCTCTGGCAAGCTCACACTGGACGAGATCGACGAGGACGGGGGTTGGCTCACATGTCTATCCTATGTACCCTACAAGAAGGGCCCCCCCCCCCCCCC